GCTGACTGCAAACTCAACCGAGGCCATCATTGAGATTGCGAGTCACAATCCAAGACACACGGCGGCTGCTCCAAAACCCGAAAATCTACTCCTAACCCCTGTGTCAAACACTGCTCGCAGAGCTCAATGGGCTAGTGATCATGGCGATAGCCGTCAAGCACTATCCGCCGAGTTCCACTCCCAGCTCGGCTATCTCTACCAGATGAGTCTAAACAAAGACGAAACTATCCGTCGTGGAGTGCAGGGATGGGAAAGAGCCACACCGAAACTCTCCAGCTCCAAACACTAATCATGAATTGCTATTGGAGAGAAATGATGCGAACCAGAAGAGAGTATCAAAGATGCCGTAATATCGGAGCTTAGAAAGGAAAATACGATGATCTAAACGATCGAATGCATTCGAAAAATCAAAATAAATCACGTTAACGTCCTCTCCAGCATCAACTGACTCGGTTCAACAACTCCGTGTTAACCGTAAATTCTGTGTGTACGATCGTTACCGACGGAATCGGTGCTGCACGGGAGCAGTAGTGTTGCGGTTTTACAGACAGCACACCAGCGCAACGGCAGTGATGAATCCCATAATCTTCGATATTACATGAAGGAGAGCTACTGAGCGGTAGTTTGAAGGCTCAGCTCTGCTTCCGCCTCAGTGCATGGGAGTTACTATTCCAAACTTCCACATGGGTGGGAATTGTCAAAGCAGTTGTGCTTATAGATAAGTTGAAACAAGTAAGTTGGAGTGTTGGACAAGGTGGTATATGTGAATTCACAGCGAGGTCGCAGGTGGTTCACACTGCATGACGATCTTGACTGCGAAGATCACAGTCAAAAAGTGGCTGACAAATACAACACATTACAATGATCGGGGTGTGTAGTGAATCTTTAAGGGCCTATCAACAGAAAATAGCAGGTAAGATTTCTGAGTAAAATGGGGGTGTTCAGTATTTACAGTGCTGGGCGATACACCCGCCTTCAGCCATTTGCAAAACTGGCGGTTTGCCGTCTGTGCCGCGCCGGTGAGTGGGCGAATGATCGACGACAACGCACAACTAGCCAGCCACACCAGTCAGTCTGGTGGCAATGCACTCCGAACACGTGCGGCCCTGCCCCAGACCGTGTAAACATGCTGCAATCTTCTAGGGTCAATTGCAACTCCTAAAGCATGTGCTTTTCATCTATCATGAATATGCGATAGTGTACAATCGATACCATTCACAAAAACAAGATAGTTCAGCTGGGTCGGCAACAACGTACGGGGGAGCCAGTTTCATTCCCTAAGGACGCTATTATAATAAATCCTTAAAAAGCTGGGTTAGAAGAAGTAAAGTGCAGCTGATGACAAGTGAAAAAAGAATAATCGGAGGAAAATTCAGCAAGGGTGCGTTATTATTTTAGGGAGGGCCATGGGAACAAAGAACCCCAAGGAGGATCTCGAAGCTCCCCAACAGGACGACGGTATGAGCCTAGTCATTTTTTCAAGCTCACTCGCGACGTTATCAGCCAACTAGGTGAATGGTTTGCGAAGAAGAAACGCCGTAGAAGCCAGTTGGTGGATGTGCAATGGTCGCAACTTAGCTAACGGCGAGGGTCCAAATCTGGAGAACAGAGGGTCCAATATCAAATACAAGCCAAATGGCAGCAACGTTTCCTTATTAAGTTTTCGCAATGCAACTGAGCGGTGTCACGGATACCGATGGTCGAAGAGGAGAAAGTTCTCGGCGCTTGTGATCCATGTGATGAATTTGTCCCCATTATAGCGCTGTGCACCTTGTCCATAATGGATAAGCCAATACCATAGACAATGGAGAATAATATGACGATGAAAAGCCGCAGGGCCCTGCCGACGGGTACAGCTGCCTCCTGCGCCATGTTAGGCCACTGGCTGAAAGGACAAACCTTCTGCAATCACAAAGCGTCTGTCTTGTGACGAAGGCCACCGTTTCAAATCCGCGAAAGTGCGGGCGACCTCATTAGTCCATGCGGGACTATTGTTGGTCACGTGACACCGTAGAGTCGGTACGAACTACCAACGTACCTTTGATACCTTTCAAAGTTGAATTTAGGGAACACGCTGTGTGGTTGGGTTGCGACTCGTAACCTCTATTAAGACTTCGGTTCACTTGGATGTAAACGGTCATTCCGATCGCGAGGACTGCATTCGGAATGGAAATATTTGGGTGATGCTCCTCCTAACACTGGCATACCTCCTTTTCTTGTTCTCTTTCTTAGTTATGCGCTCGAATACAGCAGGACTCGAAAAATCAAGGCACCGACAAGCCCCCCATCCCTTTCTTCTATGTCCGATGGTTGTCTAATCACATGTGGCTGGGTGTATGACCATGTAAAGACACTGTTATGCAAAGCGCTACACGGTAAAAGCAGAAATCAAAGTCGAATAACGACAGTCCCGTGACAATACAGAAGGACACAAGCTCCATAATGTTTAGAGAGAAATCTCTAGAGGGCACTGCGGCTGATCGGGAATCAAGGGGTAGGAATTTGTGTTTTAGTCTGCAATGGTCTCATGCTACAACATGGGTGAGGGAAGAGATCCATTAGTTCAAAAAAGTATTAAACATGAGAGATAACTCCCAGAGAAGACATCAGAAACATAAAGTAATGAACAGGTTTGTGTTCAGGGCTTCATCATCAAGCTAATACAATCACTACAAAGCAGGCTAGGATAGACACAAGAGATTTGAATCCGGTGAGTCACTGAAGCTAAGTGACTAATCGATAAGACTAGATGACTGGTCTGGTTGATGTGGAGAAGTATGATTAAAGAAACATGATTATCATAGTCGTGCTGGCTTGTGGCCAGGGTATCGTTAGAGATTAGACGTTTTTCTGTGCATATAGATCCGGGTTATGGAGCCGAGTTGCGATCACCTCTGCTGTCGACAGCAAGCGACATCTGACTGCTCGGGTGTAACATCAGGGTACACAGTAGATTAGTGCGAATGCGTCATGCGAATTTACTTGATGCTCGGAGTTGACTGGGTGCGACAACACTACACTCGTTACATTCTTCCTCACGTCACTGTAAAGCCAAGTTGGGTAATGCTCTCGAGCTCTAACGGACAGTCGCCTGGTCGTTTTCCCCATATACCTTGGTCAACTTGATAAAGAGAAATTGTACACACAGAAGGAGGTCTGCGACCGAGGTATCGTGTCCTTAAGTTGCTGGCACACAATCAGTGTTGTGATGAAGCTTACGCCCAGGTTGGCAGCAAGATACGTTCTCGCCGGTACTATAGAAAGTTTTCGAGTGGTTTATTCCGCTATCGTAAAGATAAGTATATAATCCGCTTTTCCGCGGAAACAGATTTCAGCCTTGGCACTCGCGGTTCCATGTGCCTCTGGATGAATTTGTTCAGAGTATCTATTACTCTCGAACACGCTTCGGAATAAGCTCAACTCATATGAAAGCGTATCTTTTGTACATATTCTCCTCGGTCTCTCCGTTAGACAACAGACGAGATTCATTTTTTAAGTCTCGGAACAGAACTAGCGAAATGGATCTATTGCCCATTCCAGGTTTCCTTCCTGTGCAGCCTGCTCCGCACTGACCTACCTAATGCCCTATTGATTTGGACATCTAAAAATGCCAACGACACGTTGCGTTCTAGTTCGATAGTGAAAGTTATGTTATTACGTGCAGAGTTAAAGTGGATTAATAGTAAAAACAGACGGCAACTTATGTGGGCACAGGAAAATACCTCTCTGGTCAAAACAATCTGGAAACCATAATGTAGTTCATCCGCCAAAAAAACCAATCCGATGTAAACACGTACGTACCACCTATCCGGGCCCAACGAAAGATTTTGGAGACCAGTAGGTGATAAAATCAAACAGTTTATAGGTACACCAGTGAGGTCGAATTATGTGTCGCCGCAACTTTATTAAAGGTCAAGTAACAATCGCACGAGAACGATAGATTGGGATACAAACTAAAGGTGTTAATCTGAAATACTCATGCGTAGGGGATATGTGATGTAACCAGTTGTGTGTTTCATCGCAGTATCAGACGGTCCTTCACAAGCCCGGAGGAAAAGTGCTTTTGTACACACACGTGCTAACCTTGTTTCTGCTGTGACCAAACGGATAATCCCCGCATCACCACAAAAAATTTATAAGCTCTGAGAAGGCATAAGATCCCGAACGACTGAGCAATTGTGGCACTCAATGCAACTGGTGAGACCGGAGTGTACGTTGCATGCAAAGTTTACCCGATCCCTCCACTGACTCATGCGCACATGGTCACGCGTTCGTTCCCCGCAGCATGACCCATGAGGTCACGTGCATCACCTGGCGCACCTCAACCGTTATGTAACTAATAAAAATCGAAAATCCCATACATTTCAGTACATCCACATGTTCGCCCCAGCAGCTTATACAGACAACAGTGTACTAGGTCGCTGTTAGTGGAAGCCGCGCCTTTCTGGGCCAGCCCTGTCCTCTACTACGTTCATAACTTGCATGGCACTGGAGGGTTGAACGCGCTACATCGTAGTTAGCTTGCCAACTATGACGGTCTGCTGCTGTCCCTCATTGCTCAGCGGCATAAACTACTGGCTGGCTGTTCAAGTCACTAGTAGACATGGGCTCAGATCTTGGTGAATGTGATGGATGGGAACTCCTGAGGAGACACTACAGGTCGAAACTGCAGCTTTGTGTTTCTCGGGCATGTGGGCGACTATCCGATTTGGTAGCTGTTGCGATGAAACCTCGGCTAAAGTAGAAAAGTTTAGACAGAGATTCAAATTTTTGGGTTGGATTGGTGAAATTTGTAGCTGATAGTTATGGGTTCCTTAGAGTTTAGGGAAGCATGCAAGCGAAGCACACTGAAAGAGATGCCCGTAACAACTATAATGGTAACGTATAATTAGTATAATGATTTTAAATGTAAAAGACACTCCCCCCTTCCAAATTACATCGCCGAAGTGGGGATGCCATAAGCGGAGCAGAGGAGAGAAGAGGAGACGGACCGCACTCACTTTGATCCACGTATAACCTCCGTCCGAACTGACAAACACATCAGCTGGAGTATTTTTCAAATGGGTTGCAACGTGGCCGTGTGCCAAAATGAGGCCCGGTGCAGCAGAGATGGACAGTGGGGAAGAGGCGATCACGCGGTTGCGGATACTGAATTGGTTACTGATTTGCAATCCGCAGACCTGTAATCATGATAAGGACAAAAGTAGGATGCAATAGAGTGTAGCTCAGTTGAACAAATTTGTGCCAACAAATATGTGTGGATAAAGGTGCCCCGATTAGCGTCACCAAGACAGTAATCGTAGAAGTTCATCACATCTAGACTGTCAGACAGCCAGCACACATTCTTTGGGGAATCGTCAGCAGTGCGCATTCTATCTGGCTGCTGTGGAGCTAGAACTCCAACTCGACTGTTGCTAGTCTGTGGTGAAGACCACTGAGCTACAGAGGACGCGAACGACCGATGTGGTGGTTAGTAGATGTGATGTAGCGCCGCTCACTATCCACTGATTTGCACGTTACTTACCAAACTTAAGAGGCCAATTAGCTTATGGCATTTTAAGTAGTTTAGCATGCGTACTGATTACAGGAGGGTAGTAGGGCATAAGTAGAAGTTCATCACATCTGGACTGTTTTTGATAACCATCACACGCCCGGAAAAGCACTATACGGCCGTTTCAGCCCGTCGAGGATCGTTAATAGTGCGTATCTCATCTAACCCCTGTGAAGCTCGAACTCGCAATCCGACTGTTACCAGTCTGTGGTGAAGAACACTGGGCAAGGGAGGACGCGAACGACCGACGTGATTGTTGCTGCATGTGATATAGCGTCGTTCACTACCTGCTGATGTGACGAACTTCTACTTGTACCATTTAACCCCCCCTTCTAATACTTCCATGTGAGATAGTTCATTAAGTTGTAGAGAGCAGAAAGGCTAATGGTCCGTGTCATCTCCATCATCTCCTTTTCATTGGCTGGATAACGCTTGTCATTGCTAAAATGTTTTCCCCGAGGGATCGTTACAGTTGCAGCAAAAACAGCGGAATCAAGGCGTTCTCAGCATGCGTTTATCCAACCGTTGTTTGAAACATTCCTCTGTCCGGGCACTTACAACGCATTCAGGAAAGTTGTTCCATTCAATCATAACTCGAGTGGATAACACGACATAAAAGCGGATGTGGTGCCTCCGCGGTCTCCAAATGTGACCGTGTCAAGTAATCTACGTAGAGCTGGAAGAACTGTTGCACTTCCTTCCTCAAATCTCCCCTTAGAATGCGTCTAGTGTAAATCAGATCCCTACGGCGACGAAGGTAGTCTAGAATACATGTTCATACATTGAAGACGAAGGGGATAAGATAAACAAGTAGCGCCAACGCGGACTTAGAAGTACATCTCTGAACCTTCTCCAAAAAGGCACATTCAAAGTTCGTAAGCGGGTGCATGACAGGTAATCCATATTCCAGTATTGGACAAGTGTGGAGGGAAAACAGGAACCCAAGGTCTCATGCGTAAGTTTGAAAAATGACCCTCGTGTGGCAGTAAGCATTTTGTTGGCAGAAACTGCTTTCTACATAGTATCCTGGGTTGCTCTCAGGTCTGGGGATACGAGTACACCCAGATCCTTCGCAAAACATGCATTATTCTGCAGGAAACCACCAATGTGGTAGACGCCGAAAGGTTCTGGAGTACCCATTGGGAGAACACAGTATTTATCACGATTGATAAGGATTTGGCACTCGACAGATTGAGTGTTGTTTTGAGTGCTATTTGAGTGTTGAGTGTAATTTGCAATTAGTTTGAGATCAGCTGAACACATAAGGCAGTCAACCTGAAGCACCTCAGGGAGATGGTGGATAAAGATTATGAGAAGTTCAGGACCAAGAACGGAGCCCAGTGGAGCACTACTGATCATGTGAATAAGCCCAGAGATGACCCCATTGACCTTCGCCCTCATAGCACGATCATCTAGGAAATCAGCGATCCAGGCGAGAAAATTACCAGCAATGCGAATCTGTCGGAGCTTGACAAAGAATCGTTTTCGCGGGACCCTATCAAACACTTTGCTAAAATCGACAACAGCATCACGGTGATGGCCGGCATCCATTGAATTTGCCTACTTTTCTAGGGCAACGAGCAGGTTGGTGACCGATGTGAGATGGAAAACAGAGTTAGGGGAACAATGAGCAAAATTAATCCGGATGGAATATTCACAGCTAGATGCAATAAACCGAACGTAGGAGTGCCATTGACGCCGTGAGTGCGCCATGTCCAGGTCTACAATCACTAATATGGTTCATTCGGAGACCACCATCCATGAGAGCGATCACACCAGTATGAACAAGCTTCTCCGCTAATTTCTCCATGCCTTTACAGCAATCCATCGACTGGCCGCCTCGTGATTTCAGTAGCAGAAAACAATGCACAATGAGGAAGAAGGCCAACAGGCATCCGGGGGACATGACCTAACTAAGGCAAGAGCTCCAAAGTCAAGAAACGCTTCGATGCAGCACCATAGGAATTCCTTACTAAACACCACCTGGCGGAGTACTGTAGTGCCCATCTAGTGTTTCTATCAGATGTGAACAGTACTCCGAAAGCACTGGCAAGCAATACGATAAGTATTGGGTACAGTTTGGAAGGAAAAAGCGAAGGGGTCCAAATAAACGCAATGGACAAAAACTGCAATGAACACCATTTAAGCAACTTGTACGGATGTTTTGCTGTCATACAACCATGCCTAACGGCGAACCATAAAGGGGAGGGAGAAAATGGCCCCGATGTGAAACCAGAGTTCCCAAAGTCAACATTCAGGAACAAGGTGCATCCACCTTACCAATAACACTTGAACATAACTAGCCGAATGTCGAGTGAGGATAAGGAAGCACTGGATTCCCTGTGGAACTCACTGCTCCGCATCACTGGTGTCGACTGAGATCCAGGTCGCAGAAGGTCTCAGGCAAAACACAAGGCCCACGCAACCTGCAACCACATAGATGAGATCTATGGGGTGTAGAACATAAAACCAGCTTTAATTTGTTGTCTGTTAGATGGTCAATCACACCCATTCGCAACATAAGCTCGGGCTCAACATTCAGCCAGATCTAACTGACAGAGAGCAATAAATCACGTAAACAATAAATAAAGCTCATAAAACACCGTAGGAAAGGATTATTGCGGCCATATAACCGTGGCCACAAACGAGTCTTCACCCTTGGTGAACAACTATCCGCAACAGGAATAGTCTCAGTGGTTATCAGGTGAGGCATAAACAATGCCAGGTGTTGCTTTGTGAACCGTTTGTTTACATGGACGCAAGGTCTGGCCAGCCCCGTGACTGCAGTGTGCAGCGGAAAGTGAATTATCATGCAGACAAATGCCTCGGACTTGGCATGGCCGTACCGTGTGCAGCCTGATCAGAAGATAAGCGAAGTGGTTCGGGTATGCTGACGGGAATGCGTCGAAACTTAGTGGAATATTGACTCATAGGGGCAAGTAACGCGACTGCACAGAAGCCCGAGGAGCACGAGATTTAGGAAAAGTGGGTTGCCCCGGTTTGTCACCAGACATCATGTGGTCCTCATACAACATGCACTGAATGGGAATCAGAAATAATGCGACACGCTAATGCGTACGACCACAGGGTTATATGCGAAAACCGGTCAAGTGCAGCACCAAACACGGAACAGGAGAGAAAGCCGACTCCGCACCTGTCGCATACGAGCAAGTGAAGCCCTTCATACGTTGTGGTTTGCATGAGGAGTTCCATTCACCAGCTGTAGTAGAAAAGGAGCCGACGAGATCACATGTTATCCAGATTGACCATTCAGCTGCCATCCAATCCAGCAACTTCGATATGGAATCTTCATTCGGTAATCGAAGCGGGAAACCGATTGAAACAATGTGGCTCAATACCAAAAAGTAGAGAAATCCGACCGACAATTTGCTCCTTGGTCAGCCATTCGGATCCTTCATCTGTTAACGTATTACTCTCGGGTACTCCGGACGAATAGCATAACGCGACCATCCTCGATACACGTCGCTTGATCTAACTGGTCGAAGCATTCGGCGAATAACAAAAAGCTCGTAGCAAACATTTTGTATTAATTACAGGGTGCTGCATCTGACGGGTGTTTGGGTATGGTGCAGCTCAAAATAGTTCTTCAGAGGGTTAGAATCCTGCCCGACACTTGTAACAGTTGTGCACCTGATGGCATGTTGTGATCTGCTTGTCGGTTCGATGCCTGTTGTCCTCTGGTGGGGAAGGACCATAGGTAAGCATGCGGTAAATCACTCAACTTCAAACTCCGCCGCTTAAGTTGCGTAAAACAAACTTCCACAGATAAAAGTAGGACGGAACCCACGTTCCCTAAGTGTAAATCAACTCCATAACACTTAGTTTGTTTAGAGATGCACGGAGCGTATCAGTTTGGAGCGAGATACGGATGGAAATCGACCACATCGCGATCAGTCACCTCTGGAGAGGCTGAGTCCAAAAGTTCCGATAGATTTGGAGCATAATCGTGGACTACGACCATGCGCTTGTATATGCTGATCTCCTGTTGTGCTTCGGCGGATGCCTGCGACAACGCTATGAAACTATTGACACCCACTAACTGGTGAAGCCTAATGAGAGACCGCGCATCCTGATGGTCTCCCTGTGCATCGGAGTTGGAAACGGCTATTTCACCTGATAACCATCAGAAATTGTTCCGTATGATAGGGGGAGCGATAGACTTGGTGTTAGCGAGACTATATGCCATAAGACACTCTATCCATAAGTAGTCAAAACGCTCGGAGCATTTTACCGAGCAACTTGAAAATCAATCTAATCATCTGGAGTGACTAGATTCGCTGCCAGTCAGTGAACGCCCTGTTTTCTGGGTCGTTCCTTTGGATCCGCATTCCCGCTAAAGAATCGAATGTGAGATGAGACTACTGAGACTGAATAATGCTGTGGGATCAGATGAATTCACTCCAACCCTCTTAAAATACGGGGAACCCGATTATGCGGATGATTTAAACGAGTTAATGAAACGTTTGGAGCAGAAAGTTATCCCAAATACAGCCGTTCCGTAACCGTCGCGATCTTCGAGAGGAGTTCAGGCTCGGAACGCGGCAATCGTAGCAGCCTGATTTCCATTACCTCTAAGTTGATTGTTTCTGTCATCCTTCCCAGACTGAT